ATTTTTCATAAAAATTAACCACAAAAAATTACAAACTAATATATATTTTAGTTCGCGGGCCACCAAAAAAAAGGCATCGCGAGTCGGATGCTGCCCGAGGGGGCCGCCAATTGGTAACCACTGTTCAAGACAATTAAAAACACTTGTAATATTTTAAATAAAAAAATTTCTTCTGAAGGATTTCTCAAATTGGCAGTGCAATGTTAAATTAGAAGTAGTGGTAAATGGTTAAATTGTATGGTGAACTTTTAAGGTAAATAATATTTCAAATAAAAAAACTTAATATTAAATAATTTATTCCTTTGCATCACTTAAATGATGGAACCTTTCTTCCTAGTTTATTACTTTATCAATATTTCTGAGGTAACAAGCTTAATATATCAAAAGAGGAAAGCTTTTGAATCAACTAAGAAGAAATATTCTAGTAATTTGATGGCCTTAATTATGAAATTCTTTGCGACAACAAATTACTCATATACATTTTTATGGTAGTTTTTGTACTTCAAACATCCATAATGAAATGGTGAAAGACATATTTGAAAATCTAGTTTTTATGAACAGGAAACAAAGCTTATTTTCTGTGCATGATGATAGAACATTCAAAAACTAGAAATTGGCACATGAAAAAGCCAGATATTACACATTATAGCACATTTTGCAAAAATAAAATGTGGAAAAAAAAATTCAATAGTTAGAAATATTAAATATACAGAATAGCAGGTTATTTGATTATCTGATATTCAATTAAGTGGCATGACCATAAATAGAAAACTAATGAATGTTTTTATAGGTCCTTTTAAATTAAACAATAATTTTTTACATGATAGTTAATTCTATAATGTGATATTTAAATAGTTTTACTAAACTCATACTTAAAAGAAATATATTTCAAACATTTTGGTAATATTTAAAATTTTCCAAATATATTTCAATCACGTTTAACATTTAAACATATTAACATTCGTTCTGCTATAATTATTATTTAACAATTAATTATATGTTTTAAGCCTAAAAAATATGCTCTTAAAAAGTTAGTGGTCAGTAAATAAAAAATAATAATAATCTGATTTAAATTAAAAAAAGAAAATTGTTTTTCCGATTTTTTCCTTAAAAAAGTAAAAATTTTCTAAACTAATATATTTTTAACAATACAAGAGTGAAATCAAAGTTAAAAAAGTTTAAATAAAGTCAGACCTAATGTAATACACTATTCTCTAAATTCAACTACCCATAAAGTTAAAAAAAAAATAGACTTTACTATTATTTTTTTTTCTTTTTTCATTTTTTTCAATCAGAAAAAAATTGCAACAATTCAAGGAAACCTTTTAGTGAAATATAATTCAGTTAAGCAGATAAACTGTGTTAACGTCTTGAGTGCCACACATGTTTTTAATAAAATCCCCATAACGTAACAGTTTGAAGCACCCTACTCTAACAGATTGAAATAAATAAATTAAATTTGAAATAAATAAAAAGAAAATTTTTGGTAATTAAAACAATGGAGCTTTTTTAAATTTTATGCCACATTTTACACTGTTAGATACCAGTGACTGACACAGCCTAAGTTCAGTGTCAGTTACTGACAGTGTTAATACACATCTACATACTGTAAATCAGGGATGCACAACCTATAGCTCGTGGGCCAAAAAAGGCCCTTGAAGTATATGACTTGGCCTTGAACAATTTTAAATGTTAAAAAAAATATATCAGGCATTTTTAATAAAAATTTTAGAAAATTAATCTTCTGCTTTTAGAAATAAAAATCCTTTAATTTTAAATTAAAAATAAATGAAAATTTTATTAAAGTGAAAAAATTAAAATCATCACTGAAATAAATATAATGATAAACATAAAACTGCAGAAGTACAAGAAAACAAGGTGAATTTATAATACTACACAAAATCAATAAATATACAATACTTACAGGGATCACTAGGCTTGCGTTTCTCCCCTTTCGGTTTGTTTTCTTCAAGTTTCTCTTCAGGCTTTGATTCTTCTTCTGTGTTCACATAGTTATAGCTCAACTGATGATATCTAGCTATGTCATCATCATTAACCTACAATATGATTATACTCATTACTTTAAGTAATACATTGTTTAAATATAACGTTATCTAACAATGTCATCATCTGCCAACTACCCAAGGCAAAAAATCTTGACGGTTTTCCATTGATGGGCCATCATAAATGTGATGATTACAATCTAGAATTCCCATTAAAGACCAACAAACAGCTTGATGGGACCATCAAAACTGCCCAACATCCTCACCTCTAAAAAATTGGCACCTCTTTTAAGTTGGGCCAACGTAGCATACTCAACATAGTATTATGGATTTTTATGTTGGACTAACATAACCCAGTATAGTATGATAGATTTTTATAATTCGCCAACAAAAAAAAATCCATCATGACCCAATATAATTTACTGGTTACCATAATTATTTTCCATCACAAACCATCATACTTTAAATTCGGACTATCAAATCTGCCCAATATCCCAAGCTAGGAAATGGCACCTTTTCATGTTGGGCCACCACAGCATACCCAGGGTTTTTATAATGGGCCAACAACAACAAAAATTTTTTTTTATCATGATCCAATATAATTTATTGCTTACCATTATAATTTTACATAAAGGGGTATAGCTTGCTTTTGGTATAATTCAACATGAATGAAGAAAGAACATGGAGAAAGAAAGAAAATGGAATTTAAAATTTCAAACAAAAATATAAACTGCACATTTCTACAACTAAATATTGCAATAGTAAACCAACTAATTTTAAACCTCAAGCTTATTATTTAAATGTCCTGTTGTTGTTATTAAAAGTAAAACATTGTAAAGNAAAAAAAAAAAAAAAAAAAAAAAAAAAAAAAAAAAAAAAAAAAAAAAAAAAAAAAATACTAAAAAAATTTATTTATGCATGGATACAATAAAAATTGTAACCTTAAAAACCAAACATATATATTTGTAATTAATGGCAGAAATTTTTTTAGTAATTATAATTAAAAACATACTGTAATGCCAAACAAAGAAAAATGACCTTGTTTTCGACACTTTTATACTTAAGCGTACTCCTTATAAAATAATGTATTTTTTATTGTAAAAATGTAAAAGTAATGTAATTAGCTTAATGGAAATTTTTATGTAATACTTTCATAAATTTAACAGCTGAAAAATTATAAGTAAAAAGTTATAATAGTAGAGAATAAACTGCAACAGACTAACACCTGAGAAAATAATAAATTCATTCCACAGTTTCAAAAAATTTTAACTTATGTATCTATTATATAAGTTGATCTGCAAATTGAAAATAACAATAATCAAAAATCAAACATTCGTGTTAAAATTTGATGACTTCTCAGCATCATTCAATGGATACACTTGAAAAACGTAAAATACTAAAAAAAAAAACACCAACTTCAAATGGTCCAATACTGAATGCATGCTGAAAATTGAAATCATTGGAAAATCAAGTGGATAAATTACTATGATTCAAACACATTCAAATGTGCAGTCAGGGTTGTAAAAAATACAAAAAGAAAAAAAATATGACTTAAAAAAACCATGCGTAAATATATAGCAATAATTGCCAGCCATGACAGTTTTTGGAAAATATTTCATAGAGTGGTAGACAATAAAAAACTAAAGCTTTCAAAAGTTTTAGTAATTTTTTCAGTATTTTAAAAGCCTCGCAATGAGAGAGCTGGAAGAAAGAGGCATTTTAGATGAATATAACTAATTTACATGTAGTGCACAGGAAAATAACTTTTATACAACAAAGAATCATACATTAAAACATAAACTTAGCTACCATTGCAAGAAGATTTCTGCATAGGAAGTTAGCAGCTCTGTAGTTATTGTAACTAAAAATTTTATCACATTTTTAATGAATGAAAAAAATTGAAGATCAAATCTGTTAGTTTGACTTGCACCTTTAGAATTGAAATTTTAATGCCCAAGCTTATATCAAACAAAAATAGCTCATTAATGTTTCTTTAAAACAAATTAATTGGGGGGTAAAATGCAAAGCAAGACTAAAAATAAGAAATGCAATATTTGAGTGAAAATAATGATTGCTCAGAGAGACTATGTTCTAATACTTTGCATTGAAATTCAACTAATAATAAATGAATATTTATATATACAGATGATCTCCTTCCAAACAAAATCAACTTCTCCCAGAATTCCAGAAGAAAAAAAAACTATAAAAATTTTACTGATCTTTGTAACTTAGATTAGTAAGACTTTTCTTAATCATATTTTAAAATTTTATTTATAAAGTATTATGGAATAAGAAGATATGATAAACACAGAAATAAACCTGATAAAGAAATAAACCTGATAATTACTTGTTTTTTTTTTTAAAAAGAAAAAGTTTGATGACATTAAATAAAATAAATAAACATCCTAATTTTTGTTTAAATTAATACTAATTTTATTTAAATTTAAAAATGAATTGATGAAATAGATTTTAATATCATGGCTTAACAAATTTAATAGAAAAGAAAAACTATTATATTGGTACTACTTATTAAAATAATTCTGATAACAAGAAGAAAAAAATACACTGTTCAACATGAGTTTCAATATATGACTGGTTATATTTAAAATAGTTTTAATGCCAAATAATAGATTAAACACATTTGTTGCAAAATTGTAAGTGAATATTGATAATAATTCGAGAAAATTCAAAGTTTGTTAGTAGCATTTTTAAATTCCCTGAGTTTCTTTCTTTTCCTTTTTCGGTGTTTCTAGAGGGACTGGCTACCCTGATATAATAATGAAATTCAAAATATTAACAACAAGTTTTATTTACCTTAGGAAACCATGCTTGTTTTTCTTGATTCCACTCATAAACTGTGCCATCGTCTGGGCTAATGTAAGTGTATGGATCAGTTACACCTTCTTCTGTAAGTTCTTTTTTCGTCTTCTCTAGCTTCTCCAACTCCAGTTGGGCTTCAAATTCTTGATTTGCCATGATCTTTTGTGTTTAAAAAAAGAATTAGAAAAATACTTACTTTAATTACAACTAACAAAATAATATTTTTATATAAAAAACATATACAGTAGGGAACCGATTATCCGGAATGATCGGGAACATTGCTATTCCGGATAACTGATTTTTCCGGTTTCCTGAATCGCTACAAAAAGCCGTTTTTTTTTTATTGTTAAACCCAACTAAAAAAATAAAAAATATTTGGAAATAATCTCAAAAAGA